ATATAAATATATCTGTATGTATGTATCTGTACATCTGTATTTTAACATCTCTATCAGCGCTGCATACTTCCGGATCGACGATTCGAAAAAGTGTATGTACTGCGCATGACTGGACTACACAGGCAAAGCTTCCCGGTGAAAAAAAAGGATTTAAAATGTATGACTCGCATGGCTCGCTGGCTCGCATGGCTCGCGCATTGGCTCGCATGACTCGCTGGCTCGCACTTTGTCACGACCCTTTCCTAAATATACACTGCCAATATTTTAATATATTAAATATAATAAACTTTTATATTAATGATAAATTTTATCATTATACTTTTCTGCAGATAGAGTCAGCAGTCAGCGCAGGGATTTTGTTCAGAAAATGGTCCAATATTTTGTTCCTGAGATTGCAATCATCATTGTCAGACAGAATACTGTAAACCATTTTAATTTTTCCTGAAGACCCAATAGAGAAAAAAGATGGAAAAAGCCCGCCCAATTCAGATTAATGCTACAGTAGTACTTTTTAAAAAATAAAATTATTCCTGTGCCTAAAGGAGTGTTTGAGTAAACTTATTTTTATAATACAATTAAGCCAACTCAGTCTGACACATGTACATTAAATAATGAACAAAGTTATAATAAACTATGGAATTTGTAAATTATTCTAAATACTGAATTTGCGTCTGTTTGTATTGTATACTATCTGCAATTGCATGATAAAGCAAGTTTATATCATGGTAAGTGGCAATGAGCATATTAACATTGACATTATTTACAGTATTTGATTGTATGATGTATGATATGCTTGCATGCACTAAGAACAGGATTGCAGACAATTCATGAAATTGTTTGTAAATAAAATATATTTATTTTTAGACTTCCAAAATACAGCACAATACATGCAAATGTTATTTTCACAAACATCATACATACACTATACCTGTATTAACGTTTACAGTTTAACAGTTGCAAGATAAAGTAAGTTAATATTGCTTGATAGTTGGATGTCGCGATTAACATTTTATGTAAACATCAATGAAGTTTTAAAATAAAAATAAGCACATTACCCCTGTACTGCCATTTCGTATTTTTGGAGATGATATATAACTGCACTTTCAAGTTTGTAAGAATTTGATATTGTTTGATTGGGTGAAATGTCCTAATATTATTATTTATATATTTTAATCATATTATTATAAACGATAATTAAAATATGTGTATAACAAAACCACATTCCTAAAATCATATATCAAATAACAATGAAAATTATCTATGAATTTGTGACTGCTGGGCCTTTAGGCAACATTTATACAAGTTTTTATCTGAAACTGAAGAGCAATCAGGAACAATTAGCACTGGACCATATCCTGAACACTCTCCCTTAGCCGACTTCTGACTATCTGCAGAAAAAAATATATATAAAAGATTAAAATTAATAGTACAAGGCTACAGCTATCTAAGACCGCCAAGGCCTACTTTAATAGCTAAGCCTAATTAATGAACAGTGGGCTAGCATTGCACCGCCGACCCGAACGGGGATGCTGAGTGAAATACAGGCCTCTTCAAGCGGGGCCTAGCCTAGGTACGTCTCTAGACTTTGGCTGGAGTAGAGTTAGGAATGGCGTGGTATCTACCATTTATGCAAACTTTAAAATCACTTAATATAACAACAATAAATGACATAATATCTAAGTTTAAAGTAAAGTAATATAAATCGAGGATATCGTATCGTACAATGTCTATCTCAAAGTCTAGAAACCTAGGCTAGGCTGTCATTTCTTATACAATGTCATTTCTTCTACAAACATAACGGCGTACGTGTACGGCGGTGTACCGACGTCTAGGCCTAGCCTCGGAAAATTTTAATATGCTAATGTTTATAACTTATGATTCGAAAATAAAGGTGAACTTACGATATATGATAAACAGATTATTTTCAGTACCTTTCCGAAATAAAACGGGAAAATGCAATATAATTTACAGAAATGTTTAACACAGAATTGGGAACATCGGCGATCGCCCAAAAATATCAGGTGAGGATCGTTGGAGGATCGTCGATGTCACCTCCACCCAGACCTAGGATCAGAACTCGCAGGCCTAGCATGTCGACAACCAATTGGGAATGTGAACGCAGTTTGGCCATTTTTTTATCTAACACAATCTCGCTCATGACCCAGCATCTCCACAACCGCTCGCGATCGATGGAGACATGTGAACGTGGCTACAGTATACTGTCTCCGGGGTGACAGACGATCGGGCACACGAGACGATCGGGCACAGACGATCGGCCCGTTTTTGGACGATCGGGCCCGTGGGCCCGATCGTCCAAAAACGTGCCCGATCGTCTCGAAAACGGGCCCGATCGTCCTGGGCCCGATCGTCTCGTGGGCCCGATCGTCTTTAGGGAAAACTGAATATTGGGCCCGATCGTCTACTGACAAAATCGAAAATTTCCAAAACCATTTTGGCTTGCCTATAGGTCAATTTCGGCCGCGCCCCGTCAAATGACAAAATGTATGGAGCGCCGCGTTGTTGCTCCGCGAGTTCTTGGCATGCAGAATCGAAAATTTCCAAAACGTTTTCGTCAATTTCGGCAGTCGAATGACTATTACACCAGGGAGGAGTTAATTCACCCTCTTCCGATTATACCAAATATATATTAGTGCATTCTGTTCTGTGGAACCATGTTTTGAGCCTTCCATATGCTATATATTTTGCTATTCTCATGTTTTTCTTTAGCTTGACAAAGGTTGATAACCGAAAACGTTTGCTCACTTGAATAAAACTATATATCTGGCAACTTATTACATTTCTCCGGAGTTTTTGTTTATATATATATATAATTAGATCAGAACACTTACAACAATATTTATCCTACAGGTTCGCAACCTGCCAGAATTTATGGGTTACCTAAGATGCACAAAGTTAGGGCGCCAGATGAAACGCCTACTTTCAGACCAATTGTTTCATCCATCGGCACTTATAATTATAATTTAGCTAAATTCTTGTGTAATTTGTTGCAACCTCATTTGCCTTTAGATTTCTGTGTCACAGATTCCTTTAGCTTCGTTAACGACCTTAAAAAATCAAATTTCAGCAATAAATTCATGGTTTCATTTCATGTTAAAAGCTTATTCACTAATATTCCATTAGATGAATCTATTGATTTGGCTGTGAATTATATTTTGGAAAATGATGACATTGACTTGAAAATAAGCAAATCCAATCTTACGAAATTATTTGTTTTTGCCACTTCTCAAACACATTTTTTATTTAACCAAGTTTATTATGACCAGATAGACGGCGTCGCTATGGGCTCCCCACTAGCCCCTGTTCTCGCCAACTTATTCATGGGACACCATGAGAAAATTTGGCATGAACAATATAAGGGTCCCAATGTGTTATTATACCAACGTTATATTACCGTTAACGTTACCTTAACTCCCGCCATCCCAACATTAAATTCACCATGGAAAAAGAAGTAGGGAAAAAGCTTCCTTTCCTGGACGTCTTGGTGTCCAACATTAAGGATGGGCCACCTCAGACCTCAGTTTTTATGAAAAAATCATATACCGGTTTACTTACTAATTTTTTCAGTTTTTGTTCGTTCAGTTTCAAAATCGGTCTTATTCGCACGTTAGTTGATAGGGCTTTTAAAATCAATAATAGTTGGAGGGGCTTTGATTATGATACCAAGGCATTAACTACCATCCTTAAGAGAAATTGTTTTCCTTCATACCCCATTGATCAAATTGTTTTTCGTTATGTTAATTTAGTTCAATGTAAATGCAAAAGTACACTGGATAACACTAAAAAAAATACACCAATCAATTTTTATTTCAAATTACCTTATGTCGGCACATTTTCTAAAGTCCTTAGTAAGAAAATCCGTGCCTTATCGAATTAATTCTGTGATGACTTAAATTTAAAAATTGTATTTTTCTCATTTAAAATTAAAAATTTGTTTTCAGCTAAAGATCCCATCCCAGTTGGTCTCCGTTCGCGTGTCGTTTACAAATTTGTATGTGCAGGCTGTAATGCTTGTTACGTTGGCGAAACAAGTCGATATTTCTCTACACGCATGCGTGAGCACCTAACACTGGATGGAAACTCGCATATATTAAAGCATCTGAAAAGTTCACGTCACTGTAAACAATCAGCCAATGAGGACTGTTTCACAATACTGGACTCCGCCTCTACAACCCAAACTCTAAAAATCAAAGAAGCCTTGCATATTCAGTGGGAGCAGCCCTCACTGAACAAACAGCTTTTTCATGTTAATTTATCTTTGTCATTCTAAATTTATTCCATTCTCCCCTTAGTGGCATTTAAAATACTGCACTCTGATCTTATCTTATCTTTATTTATATTTTGCTTTGTAGTACTGTTACGGTTCATTCAACAAATTTTTTAGCTTGCATACATTGAATTTTTACTCCCCTATATCAATGATTGCCTGCGTGCAATAGATAACTGACGATGGTAGTGGACTGCCGAAACATGTCTTATTGGGGCCGTTAAGGCCATAACTTATTGGATTAAATACAGGCTTTGCCTATGATGAAGATACGATCTGTTGTGTTGTTTTTTGAAATATATATATATATATGCACATGCTAACACACATACATTATACATATGTATAATATGTGGGTGTGGATATGGGTAAATATCCACACCCACATATTACACATATACATATATAGGAATATGCCTGATAATATCGTGAATAGTTCGCCTACTATACTGACTATGCATAGTCATTCGACCGAACAGGCCTTTGTCTTATATACGTTGCTTTGTAATATACGATGTTAGTCCACTGATGAAGCCATATATATATATATATATATATATATATATATGACGTTGACCCCAAAATAGTTTGAATGACATCCCCCTGTTCAACAGGCCGTCATATTTGGAATTTGGAATATAGATCCTTAATTGAAACATGATTATAATTATTACGATATAATTATATAGATCACGAGATTACATTTGTATCTGACCTTCAAATTACTGTGAAAGCGTTTCAACCAGTTAGCTTGCTCAATAAGTATACTGCGAAAGTTAGCAAATGTCATTTGCATTTGAAACTCATCTTCATCCACTGGGCATTCGATAGTGTCCACTATCTTTTTTCGACGAAGCCTGTACACAATACGATAACAGTTATACATAATTATCTGATATTTTTACCTAATTTTAGCTCTGCTGACGGATTATGAAGGCCTACACAATGTACGACACGGTAGACACAAAGTTTTCTGTATTTTTGTGTGTGTGTGTGTGTGTTTTTCCTACTTGGCACATTCCACTAAATCATAACTATAATAGCAACATTAAATATACCATGGGGGTTTTTAATAAGTCCAAAGCACAGAGTAGGGGAGGGTTGGTGTCTTAAGAATTTTCTTTAGAAATTCTTGAACACAGTCACTGGTAACTGGAATTTAAATCGTGAATTAGCATATTTTATGAGGACCCGTGCTTTTATCTTTCGATGTTCTTTTCTTTTCTCTCTTTTAGGGGGATAGGTGGTTATTTATGTATTAGAATATCGAGAATTGTTCTGATTAATTGCTAAATAGCTATGAACAGACTAATGCATATAAATATTAATTTTCTTTGTAATCAACAGTCCAAATGAGCCGAATCCTCAAAGAACACAGTATTTATATTTTCTAATACTATTTTGAATAAATATATTTCAATTGCATATACCCACCTTATAAATTCCAACATATTCATGCGAATTTTAGAAAACACAGAGAAATTTACCAAAGGTTGAATGTCGTCGCTAGAAACAATACGTTTGATGAGGTTAACAATTCGATAGCGTTGCTCTTCGCAACATTTTAGTTCACAATCAAATCTTGAAGGTTTTGAAAGAAAATGCAAAAATACAATTTACAATGTCTATGATTAAATACTTTAAATTTGTTAAAATTCGTGAAATGTAAACTCATTTAAATGAAAAAAAAAACGTAATTTGCTATTTCTCTGCAAAAACATAAAGTTCAATTTCTCTTATTACGACTTATACCCAAATATGAATTTCATGACTACTGTTTATTAAAGATAACTTCTCCTATATACAATTGCTTAAATTTCCCTATTACTTGTTTTTCAACATTCATTTTCTTATTGGTCGATATATGAGTAGTTATACACAGAAGTACTGATTCGAAAATTACCTTGACATAAATTGTTCGACGTCATTAATATTAGTGAAGAGATGTCGTCTTTCGCCATTGGTTAATAACTTGTTCAACAGTATATTACTAGTAATATTTGTTTTAACTTGAAGCAAATCATACGCACTGCTTTTGACATGATCTAGAACTGTCGCTAATTCCTGAAATTTAAATTATTTATATGTTCATGCGATTGCTATAGCATAAATATGAACTCCGACACTTAACAAATAAAGGGGATGCGGCTGTTTCTTTAATGAAAATAATTATATTATAATATTTTTAATCAATTACCTACAGATTGCCAATATATAAAAATGAACCTCTAGAGAAAAACATTTGACTTCAACTGCATATTATATTTTGTTTATGTTAGAAGGAAGTAGATTGTACATCGGTAAAGAGTTTATTAGCAGAATAACATTTACATTCACACTAGCACTTACAAAAAATCCTCCCATTATCTGAACACTACTAAATGTTCGTGGGTGAATACAACAATAATAATCTATAATGTTCAAAACATTAATACAAATAAGAAAATCGTTTTACAAACCTTCTCCGATGTTTTTTGCCAAACTTCAATTTCTTCTGTAGAAATACATTAAACATTATATCAACATTGTAATGCTGTAATGGATAACTACATCCCAAAAATTAATTTTAAAAAAACTTAGCAACAAATAAACAAATAAATAAAAATTGTACTTCTTGGTGTAACGTGTGCAATATTTAAATAATAATTGGTAAGACAAGCAATTTAAATAAAAAAAGAAATGTTTAAATTAATGAAAATCTTAATAATGGATAAACTAAAGCCAAGTTACATTAATGTGTAATCCATTATATGCCAAAAACTAAAAAAACAAGTGAGCCTCATGTCCAATTGCTATAACATCAAACGTTATTAAATACCTTAAGCGGACTATCCTTGATAAGTTGTAATGTAACATGATTAATCATGAATAATATTAATTTGCATATATGATACTCTTGAGGGATGCTTGAGGGCTCTTATAGGCTATATAAAAGACAGTATATATATATATATATATATAGTATAAATCATGAAAGGTACATAATACAGTGTTTAATAAGGACATGATGGAACATCGTAGGCTACCCTGTAGCTTTTCAACGAATAAAGTCCTATGAAAAATCATTGTGTAATAAAATGCCTCTGACGTTTTTTTTTAAATGACATAACAAAATCCAAGATGTCCTCATCTTATCCTCTCTTTTAATGAGTCAGAATGAAAAGATCCAGAATCTTGTCATGTAATCATCTCTTCTAAAGGACGTAGACATGACAGGATCCAGGATTACGTTATCTGATCATCTTTTCTACGGGATTTAGACATGACAGGACATAGGATCGTGTCATCTGAATATCTGGAGTGGGTGGGGGGTTAACATTAAAGCTTCCATACTTACGTATTATTTATTTGGATGTTGCCTGCCAAGTGCGATAAGAGATTCCTGAAGGGATCTGTAAAATATTGGAGCTTGCAGGACATCCTAGGGAGCCGCATTCATCTTCCCTAACAAACTGGTCAGGGCTTTGGACCTGATGAACTGTATCGCACAGGCCGGACAGAGCTTGAAGCTTGTCCTTTGGCAAACTCAAAGTCATTGCCTCCGAGTCTATCACGTGGTCTAAATACCAGACCTGTTTGGCCGGCATCAACACAGACTCCTCCCAATTGAGAAGTAGGCCCAAATGGTCGAGGAACTATATGGTGAGATCCCTCTGAGAGACACGAAAACTGTGGGACTCGGCTAGAAGTAGATGATCAGCCGGAGACCCAACGAACGTAGAGGACTCATTACAGGCTTCATGAGCTTTGTGAATACCGTGGTGCCAAACTGAGGCCGAAAGGGCACACATGAAACTTGAAGGCTGTCCCACTGAAAACGAAGGTACTTCCTGAAATCCGATTGACTCGGAATGCTGAAAATATGCGTCTTTTAGATCGATCGTGACCTTAAAGTCCCCGGCCCGTAACATGCTGTTTGCACTGGAAATTGTCTCCATCTTTAAATGTTGTTGAATAGTAAACTGATTCAGAATGTTCATACTGAAAACAGGGCGCATGCCTCCGGAGGCCTTGGGCACCCTTTGCGAGCATGCTCCCAATTTTCTTGTGACATGCGTCCTGTTTTGCGTTAGAACCCTGTATTGCAAGGGGGAGTGGGAGCTGACAGAAAAAAAAACCTAGTTTGTACCCCCGAACTCTTTGGAGAATTTCTACGTCCCATGTCAGTTTTTCCCAACTGGCCAGATGCCCATGAATTCTCCCTGAATACCTCCCTTTGCGATGAGATTGAGATGGGAGAGTTTTACTGAAATTAGTTTTTGACCGTACGCTGGAAAGGCGCGGCCTTACCCTTCTTGTAAGCAATTACGAAAATATTGTTCTGGAAATGACGGCTGTAAGACCTGTATCCTCTAAAAGAACAATTCTGGCCACCAGTCCTATCCTTCGTTCGGAATTTGGACATGCCCTTAGAAGCGGCCTCACTTGTGGCTTTAGCCACCACCCTCTTCTTCTTTTCCTGTTCATCAATTTTTTTGACCCACTGGTCACCAAACAGGTTTCCCATAAAGGGCACAGCCTCCTTTAAAAAAAAAAGCCAGCCTTCATAGCTGGCTTTAATATCTCCTAATGGAGGACAGATATCCTATGAACTCCATTGCCCAGGAGGCTAATGGCGCTTTCTGATTAGAACAAACGTTCCCGAAGAGAATCTTTAGGATCTGGGTAGGCTTTAGGGGCTTAAAAAATTGTTTAAAAGAAGAGTCGGGGGGGGGGGCAAACCCCTCACCAACTCATCCTTTTTTAATTTATGCTAAAGGTTCGTCCGCTGACTTTTTTTACAAAAGTCCAAAATTCAGGATAGTGGAACCTACCCTAATGGACTAGAATGAGGGTCATTAAGAGGCTTCTCAACTGGAACAGGAACTGCCGGCGGCTGACCTGCCTCCAAATCGGACGAAATACTTCCCGCCTGTATGGAAATGGAATCCATATCTCTGCCAAGGCAGGAATCGCGAGAGGAAATCGAAGACGGGGGTGGGCACCTGTCAACAGTTAGTGCGACAGCTAGTGCTGTCAAATCTTGATAATGCCAATGCATACTATATACATGTATATGTATACATGCACATGTATACTATTGTCTACCTGTTGCTACCCTTGCTCCGATGCAAAGGTTACTGCACCATGCAGCAAAAGTAATTCTTAGAAAAGGTAGGTGTGACAGTGCAACAAATGCTATGAGATATTTTTACTGGCTCCCGATGTCTCATAAACGTTAATTCATAATCGCATGCCTAGTATGGTGTTTCCTTAAATGTTCTGCACCAGCTTACTTCGCAGATCTACTAACTGTACGAACCCAAAATTCAGGATGGTGGAACGCACCCTAATGGACTAGAATGATGGTCATTAATATGCTCCTCAACTAACTAACTAACTAACTAACTAACTAACTAACTAACTAACTAACTAACTAACTAACTGTACCAACCCACTCAAACAGTGATGTCAATCTGACATTCCCACTCAAAAGACGAAAGACGTTGGCAGACCGTTCGTTCTCTGTAGCTGGACCCAAAATTTGGAACAATTTACCCTATGAAATTCGACTTTTGGACAACTACAAACAATTTAAGAGAAAGCAGAAGACATTCTACGTTCAGTAATTTTATGATAGTTAATAAAAAAAAATTATTCTTGTAAAACGTCGCTGATTATGATGTATATTGTAGAAATTTGCGCTATATAAATGGTAATCTTAAATGTTAATATTAATGTAAACATCCGAATAGATAATAGAAATGACTTTAAACATTGAATAAAAGTAAAAAAAAATACAATTTCTTAGATTTATTTTTATTCCTAATGTGAATACTTATGCCATATGTTAATTTTATTTATGTAGCTTTCATATTTAAAAAAAAAAAAAAAAAAAAAAAAAAACCAAACAAAAACAGTATTCTGATTTCCAGTGCTTTGTCCTATTTATCGGCAAATTGTTTGCCTATACCCGTGTAGTGCGCCGCCAGCGTTTCAGCCAGGCTAATATAAGTACCGAAAAGTGTCGGAGTGACTGCTCTAGTTAAACTTGTGATAATGAAATCAAACATACATTTCAAATGTTTTATAAAGCTAACGCTCAGTTTTATTGCCTGATATTTTTTTTTCATATTTGTCGGCCCCCACTATGATTAATTATTTGATACCTAATTAAACCTACCGTAGTCATCCGAACTGTCTGACACTACTTCGTCCTGGCTGTGTATTACATTTTCTTTAACGTCCTGGTTTGTTTTTCTTTCCAATATGCTGTCAATAAAATATTATAATCATTTTAAATAATTATACAAAAAAGCATTCAAGTTATCACATTTACGTTTTAAAGAAATAAAGTAATACTAGGAAAATGACTTACGGTTTTGGAGGTAGGTTGATTGTAGTATTTGATGAGAATTGTTGTACAACTATAAAATAGAATAATGTGATAAAATATATCATAATTTTTCTCCTGTAACGTTTTGCAGAATAAGAGCATAGCCCTCCTACAGGGGAAATTCTTAACGCTGCCATTGAAATAGTATGCGATAAAATTGTCCGGAGTTTAAAATGAGCTAAATATTGCGTAGTCTCACCTGATCTAATATAACGTTGTTTGGGGAATTGTGATTCAACATTTGCCAAGCAACTACAAACAATACAAAATAGCACTGCTCGTATCGTATTGTTTTTGGGGAAGCCCGGGACATGCAAAGCGACAATGTATTGTCTAATCTAAATTTGTATCCACTTTCAAATAAAAAAAAAATATTATATTGATTGCAACATTCTAGACACAATTGTAAACAATATGGCCCCGTCATATCTATTTAAATAATAATAAATATAATTTTCGTGAAAGTAAAATTAACCTATAATCTGCACTTTAAATAGTTTAACTATTAAAAAAAATTATTTCAAAATTCTCAATGTAGTTTAAGTATTTAAAAGTGTACCTCATTAATGTTTTCTTGCTTGTTAGTGTAGTGTAAAATACTATAATACTGTTAAAATAAACTTTGTAAATGTTATTTTTAATTTCAATTTATTCATAAAACCTCCAGTCAAGAGAAACATAGACAACAATAAAAGTTCATTAAAAACAAATTACAAGCGGCACAACAAACAGACACAACACCCACTAAGTAGTTTTTCAAAAAGAAGAAGAGCGTTTCATTCTTTAAATTGTATAGAAAGCTTAAGTATGACAAACGATGTATAAATGTGTACATCTGATATTCCAATATATTTTTCCCAACTGGCCAGATGCCCATGAATTCTCCCTGAATACCTCCCTTTGCGATGAGATTGAGATGGGAGAGTTTTACTGAAATTAGTTTTTGACCGTACGCTGGAAAGGTGCGGTCTTACCCTTCTTGTAAGCAATTACGAAAGGAACTATTGTTCTGGGAATGACGGCTGTAAGACCTGTATCCTCTAAAAGAACAATTCTAGCCACCAGTCCTATCCTTCGTTCGGAATTTGGACATGCCCTTAGAAGCGGCCTCACTTGTGGCTTTAGCCACCACCCTCTTCTTCTTTTCCTGTTCATCAATTTCTTTGACCCACTGGTCACCAAACAGGTTTCCCATAAAGGGCACAGCCTCCTTTAAAAAAAAAAGCCAGCCTTCATAGCTGGCTTTAATATCTCCTAATGGAGGACAGATAACCTATGAACTCCATGGCCCAGGAGGCTGATGGCACTTTCTGATTAGAACAAACGTTCCCGAAGAGAATCTCTAAGATCTGGGTAGGCTTTAGGGGCTTAAAAAGGAAAGAGGGGGGGGGGGGAGGGGGGGGGGGGCCAAACCCCTCACCAACTCATCCTTTTTGACTTTAGGCAAAAGGTTAGTCCGCTGACTTCTCCAAAAGTCCAAGATTCAGGATAGTGGAACCTACCCTAATGGACTAGAATGAGGGTCATTAAGAGACTCCTCAACTGGAACAGGAACTGCCGGCGGCTGACCTGCCTCCAAATCGGATGAAATACTTCCCGCCCGTATGGAAATGGAATCCATATCTCTGCCAAGGCTGGAATCGCGAGAGGAAATCGAAGATGGGGGTGGGCTTCTGTTAACAGCTAGTGCAATCGCTGGTGCTGTCAAATCTTGATAACGCCAATGCATACAGTATATAAATGTATATGTATACATGTACATGTATACTATTATCTACCTGTTGCTACCCTTGCTCCGATGCAAAGGTTACTGCACCATGCAGCAAAAGTAATTCTTAGTAAAGGTAGGTATGACAGTGCAACAAATGCTATGCGATATTTGCACCGGCTCCCGATATCTCATAAACGTCAATTCATAATCGCATGCCTAGTATGGTGTTCCCTTAAAGGTTCTGCACCAGCTTACATCGCAGATCTACTAACTGTACCAACCCACTCAAACAGTGATGTCAATCTGACATTCCCACTCAAAAGAAGAAAGACGTTGGCAGACCGTTCGTTCTCTGTAGCTGGACCCAAACTTTGGAACAATTTACCCTATGAAATTCGACTTTTGGACAACTACAAACAATTTAAGAGAAAGCAGAAGACATTCTACGTTCAGTAATTTTATGATAGTTAATAAAAAAAATTAGTCTTGTAAAACGCCGCTGATTGTGATGTATATTGTAGAAATTTTCGCTATATAAATGGTAATCTTAAATGTTAATATTAATGTAAACATCCGAATAGATAATAGAAATGACTTTAAACATTGAATAAAAGTAAAAAAATACAATTTCTTAGATTTATTTTTATTCCTAATGTGAATACTTATGCCATATGTTAATTTTATTTATGTAGCTTTCATATTTAAAAAAAAAAAAAAAAAAAAACCAAACAAAAACAGTATTCTGATTTCCAGTGCTTTGTCCTATTTATCGGCAAATTGTTTGCCTATACCCGTGTAGTGCGCTGCCAGCGTTTCAGCCAGGCAAATGTAAGTACCGAAAAGTGTCGGAGTGACTCCTCTGGTTAAAATTGTGATAATGAAATCAAACATACACTTCAAATGTTTTATAAAGCTAACGCTCAGTTTTATTGCCTGATTTTTTTTTTCATATTTGTCGGCCCCCACTATGATTAATTATTTGACACCTAATTAAACCTACCGTAGTCATCCGAACTGTCTGACACTACTTCGTCCTGGCTGTGTATTACATTTTCTTTAACGTCCTGGTTTGTTTTTCTTTTTAATATGCTGTCAATAAAATATTATAATCATTTTCAATAATTATACAAAAAAGCATTCAAGTTATCACATTTACGTTTTAAAGAAATAGCCTAATAAAGTAATACTAGGAAAATGACTTACGGTTTTGGAGGTAGGTTGATTGTAGTATTTGATAAGAATTGTTGTACAACTATAAAATAAAATAATGTGATAAAATATATCATAAGTTTTCTCCTGTAACGTTTTGCAGAATAAGGGCATAGCCCTCCTACAGGGGAAATTCTTAGCGCTGCCATTGAATAGTATGCGATAAAATTGTCCGGAATTTAAAATGAGCTAAATATTGCGTAGTCTCACCTGATCTAATGTAACGTTGTTTGGGGAATTGTGAATCAAAATTTGCCAAGCAACTACAAACAATACAAAATAGCACTGCTCGTATCGTATTGTTTTTGGGGAAGCCCGGGACATGCAAAGCGACAATGTATTGTCTAATCTGAAATTGTATCCACTTTAAAAAAAAACAAAATATTATATTGATTGCAACATTCTAGACACAATTGTAAACAATATGGCCCCGTCATATCTATTTAACTAATAATAAATATAATTTTCGTGAAAGTAAAATTAACCTATAATCTGCACTTTAAATAGTTTAACTATTAAAAAAAAATTATTTCAAATTTCTCAATGTAGTTTAAGTATTTAAAAGTGTACCTCAATAATGTTTTCTTGCTTGTTAATGTAGTGTAAAATACTATAATACTGTTAAAATAAACTTTGTAAATGTTATTTTTAATTTCAATTTATTCATAAAACCTCCAGTCAAGAGAAACATAGACAACAATAAAATTTCATTAAAAACAAATTACAAGCGGTACAACAAACAGACATAACACCCACTAAGTAGTTTTTCAACAAGAACAAGAGCGTTTCATTCTTAAAATTGTATAGAAAGCTTAAGTATGACAAACGATGTATAAATATGTACATCTGATATTCCAATATATTTTTTCCCAACTGGCCAGATGCCCATGAATTCTCCCTGAATACCTCCCTTTGCGATGAGATTGAGATGGGAGAGTTTTACTGAAATTAGTTTTTGACAGTACGCTGGAAAGGCGCGGTCTTACCCTTCTTGTAAGCAATTACGAAAGGAACTATTGTTCTGGGAATGACGGCTGTAAGACCTGTATCCTCTAAAAGAACAATTCTAGCCAACAGTCCTATCCTTCGTTCGGAATTTGGACTTGCCCTTAGAAGCGGCCTCACTTGTGGCTTTAGCCACCACCCTCTTCTTCTTTTCCTGTTCATCAATTTCTTTGACCCACTGGTCACCAAACAGGTTTCCCATAAAGGGCACAGCCTCCTTTAAAAAAGCCAGCCTTCATAGCTGGCTTTAATATCTTCTAATGGAGGACAGATAACCTATGAACTCCATGGCCCAGGAGGCTGATGGCGCTTTCTGATTAGAACAAACGTTCCCGAAGAGAATCTCTAGGATCTGGGTAGGCTTTAGGGGCTTAAAAAATTGTTTAACAGAAGAGTCGGGGGGGGGGGCAAACCCCTCACCAACTCATCCTTTTTTACTTTAGGAAAAAGGTTAGTCCGCTGACTTTTCCAAAAGTCCAAAATTCAGGATAGTGGAACCTACCCTAATGGACTAGAATGAATACATGAATGTATACATATATATGCATATATACACACACACACATATATATATATATACATATATATATATATATATTATACATACACTTATATATATATATGTGTGTATATATATATGTTTGTATATGTGTATGTCTATATATGTATATGTATATATATATATATATATATTGTTATACTATATGAAGTTTTTCCCCTTTATATTGTTTGTTTTTTTTTTAATTTGGTTTATATTTGCTTTTCTGTAGTATTACGGCAATAATACAAAAACATCATGTAAATTGTTGAGTTATTTCAATTTTCAATTTATTTTAATTATGAAAAACAAACATATATCAAATAAAAAACATCAATTTACCAGATCAATCCAGAACAACGCAGTACCAGTAAAATAATTCATATGACATTAAAATGCAGTTAGAAATAATTTCAAGAGGTCACCATTATAATTTTCAGAATAATGTAAAATAGTACTGATACTGTCTGAAATTCCATTACCGAATGACTTTTTACATTTTTTAAACAAAAGAGTGAGTATTGCTAATCAATTCACGCAGAAAAACACGCAGAAAAGCTTTTTCGTGTGAAACCTGATGATGCAAACAATTGATGTGCATCTACACCAAATCCGATTTTTTAGATCTGAAGGTAATAGTACACCGATAGGGACCAGTAGGGATCCGATGTGAATGCAGCTTTATCGTTGTTGATTTTTTTTACACACTTTCAAACTTTACACGTTATTCTAGTATTTTCACTCAAAAGCCTCACCAATATTTTTATGAAAATGATTAATTTTATTTAAAATACAGTACGTATGCAGAATAATTAAATATAATACAAAATATTAAAATTTCTGTTTTCATAATCGTCCTCTAAACAAAAAGAGTAATACAAAAGTAAAAAAAAAAATAGATAAATTAAAAAAATAACTTACAAGGTACTGAATAGTCATTGGCAGCTTCATTGCTGTTAAAAAAAGAGAGAAGTGTGTAAACCTCATACGGAACTTTAGTAAATGTAAGTGCATGTGTAAGCTTTACGTGCCTAATACTCAACCTAATTCGTATACTTCATTAGCAAAAGACACAGCAAGTACGACTAGGAGACAATGGTTGATTTCATTTTTCCAACAATAAATTCTAATATATTAAAAAAAATCAATCTGACTGTTAGAGCATACGGGCCAGATGCTGGCCAAATGCAATTTTGTTGCAGCCTCGAAAATCCTATAATGTGTACTCAAACATATTTGGCTAGAAAAACACCTTGTTTTACGACTTTAAACCGATTATCTTAAAAAAAAACCAGTCACTACAACTGAGAATAATACAGAGCATGAAGTGTATTGTGCAACATTTCGGTGCTTAGTGTTAAATCAAAACTTCTCTTGGGCTCTCCGACAAAGTTTTTTTTTTTTTTTTCTTTTTACATTCTTTATTAATATTCCAGTAGCAGCCGAAAGGCTGAATTACAAGAGATTTACAAATTAAATTAACGTTAAAAGATTTAAAATTACAGTGACAATAAAAAACATTAAAACTGGAAAACATTAAAATTTTGTTGATAAAAAATACAAATATTATATAGAAATAAATTGTAATAAATGCAATAAGGATAGTGAATATAAGTAATATATACATTATAATTGATAATCAAGAATCTAATTAAAAAGCACAACATTCCAAAACTACAATAAAATATATATAAAAAACAAATGAGAGACACCAGGAAAGAACAAAATTAAAAAAAATTACAAAAATGAACAATCGGAAAAAAAACAAACTAACAAACAAACAAAAAAAAAAAAAAAAAAAAAAAAAACGGGGACCAAAGAAAAAAAAAAGAGGAAACCGTCTGCGGTTCAGGGTGAAGAACAATTGTTATCAAAAAGTTTTATGTCAGAAGCAATCATCTCGACTTTCTTAGGCCCTAGCGTTGAGGTAAGTGTGAGAACAGATTAGGTAGAGAAATAAAATTGATTGTTAAGAGACAAGGCTCACTAGAGAGACCCACTCATGTTGTAATGAATGTTGCTGTGGCCTATTGGAGTTTAGTAGGTTTGGGTGGTGGAATTTATGATAAAACCCCAAAATTTCAATGAGTTTGTATTTCTATTTCTCGACTAAATAAAATATATCCTCGTATAATGTCATATACACGTGTTCAAAATATATTAAGTGCAAACTTACCCAATCTGAGAATACGTTGATTTGTCTTCTACAAACGAAAAATATAACAATAAATGATAATATTCAATGCCGAAAACGTATACTCATTGCTGCTACAATTAATATCATGTTCACGAATAACAATAACAATAGTAATAATAATGATAATGATGGTTATAAAAATAATGATGATGATAAATAATAATAATAATAATAATAATAATAATAATAATAATAATAATAATAATAATAATAATAATAATAATAATAATAATAATAATAAATGATGATGATGACAGTGGCGGATTCTGAATTTTGAACTAGAGGGGGCTCAGGAAAGATAGGAGGTAATTACTGTTTCGTCCATACTCAAAAACTGTTTGATTTGTAATAGCAATGCCACTTATTCAAAGTCTGCAGCAAAATACAAAATTAGTTCATATTAATCGGGAACAGGATAATCTGACATTACAAACCATCGCCCTGTAGTGCCACTTCTATGTACTGAACAAAATAATGGCCTGCGGTCTAGCCAAACAAGGCTGAACGATCCTCAATAGTTGGCTCTGTCTGTTGCGGCTGGACAATACATAAATAACAGTCTAAAATACGATCTTTAGCACCAAATTTGAGGAGGACCAAGATAAATGTAACATTGTCAATGTGTTAAAGTTTACAGTACATCAGTCTCGAAATGTTTGAGTTATGTGCCCGAAAGAACCCAGACAGGCACACACGCACGCGCGCGCACACACACACACACACACGCACATAGAAGCATGCCATTACAACAGTACTCTCACCTGTTCTTCAGAGAGACGAGGGGTAACGACCAATCAATTATTATAATAATAAGCAGAGCATATACGATTTTGAATATTTTTTAGTCTTGTTACTGCTTCAAATCACGTCCGCAAAGAATACGACGCTGACCTAATTCTCTTCACTGCTACAACAGCAGTGCGAAGATTGTCCTTGTTACCGCCTGCTGGCAGCTAGGCTTTGCACCGTGACGTATGAGTGCTCTTCCATTTTCAGCCAATCAGAGTAGATACATGGCCAGTGTGAGAAAACAAAATATGAAAAAGATGGGTTGCGGTATATTACAATTACTGTAAGCTGATTAAAATTAATAATTAATTAAACATCAGGCATCAAATTGTTTGGTATGACAGTATACCCCTCTCCCCATATCAAATTTTAAAAACATGTTTAGATCAACTTTACTGAATTTGTCATTGCATTTTATTGCTTTTTAGACGTTGTCTGTTTTTTGTTCTTTACTCCGTTGACTGTGCAATTTGAAATCGTTTTTTATAGGACGCGCATTGAAGTTATTACTTTTTAAGGCTTATATCCTCCTAATTAGGGTTGTAGTCCAGTCAGAAATGTAGCAATATATGCTATATTTTTAAAAACTGGATATGATGTAGAGTAGACATTGATAAATAAAAAAAGTCCTGATGCTGCTGTAGCGGAAGCCCGCCTCCGATATGCCCAAAAAAGAGCACAAGCAAGAATAAATGCCCTGAAGGCAGAGCTGGAGCCAGATAATATTCAAGTACAGGCAGCCTTAGCCGCAGCTGAAGCCAGAGCTTTTGTACTACACGAATACGACCAGGATAGTATTGGTACTAGCCCAGTGGGTTCACTATTGGAGTTACCGGTGGACGATCCGCACGGCCACACTTCAAATTATGTGACGGAGATTCAAGATGCTGAGGATGAGCTGTTGGATGACCAGTCTCTGGATCAGCAAGAAACAGGTGGTTACCAAATCAACACTAATAAGGAGGATTAAAAGAAAGTGGAGTTGCAGTTAGCCTCTCATATAAGCAGAATCATGTTCAAACGGGACATAATCAAAACCAGCCTACCCACATTCGATAACAAACCAGAAACGTATAACTCTTGGACCGAAAGGTCCACTGATTAATCTCAGATAAGAAAGTATAACGCATACTTCAATTATTAAAATACACGCCATTGTGTTCAATATTTCGACATTAATTATGTCATCATCAGGAATGATAACTCTCGGAAACAAAGTTTTAAGAGTAAATTGGAGGACCTTCAACTCTTACCCACTGAAAAAATTGACCTGTTGATGAAGTATACGACCGGCCAATCAAGACAACAGGTGTTAAGCATTAGCATTGCTAACACGGCCAACCCTGAGCTGGGTCTAAAAAGAGTATGGAAAAGGCTAGATGAGAGGTATGAGTCGCCGGAGTGGGTTGAAACAGCAGTCAGGAGAAAGTTTGATAGCTTTCAAAAAATTACCACTGATGTAGGAAAGTTATATAATTTAGCTGACATTCTGGGAAAAATTGAAACGTTAAAAGCTGACCCAAAATATGGCACTTCATTGACTTACTTCGACTCATCAATCGGAGTCAAACCTATACCAGCCAAACTACCTCATAATATTCAGGAAAAATATGTCTCCAATGCTGGAAACTACCTAGAACGAAAAGACGTCATCTACCCACCATTCAGCCATTTTTGCCAGTTTATAAGAAAACAAGCTAAAGTTAGAAACAACCCAGCAATAACCGGACAGACGCCTCAAGTCAGAGAGCATAGGGTCTCTACTAGGAAAACCAACACTCAACCAGAGCACAAAGCCAAGTGCCCTCAACTCAAACTCACACACGTTAAAGGAGTGTAAGAAATTTAAGACAGGATCTGTTCAAGAGAAATATCAGCGGTTAAAAGAGTTTAACCTATGTTTTAGGAGCTTAGATCCATCGCATCGTAGAAGAGCTTGTAAGGTGCTAATAAAATGCGAGGAATGCAGCAGTACGGATCATGTGACCTCAATGAACTCACACCAAGGCGGGGAGCAGGCAGCTGACGAAAATACCACTCGCCAGCATAACATTACCACTGCCTGCGCACAAGTATGTGGAGACAATACAGCAACGGCGGGCAAATCATGCGCATAGATTGTACCCGTGGTTGTCAGTCACAAACGTGATAAAACAGTGACTGTCCGAACATATGCGATAATTGATGACCAAAGTAATAGGTCACTAGTTTCAGAGAAGCATTTTTGACCTATTTGATGTCCAATATCAGGTAACAAATTATTCGCTCACATCCTGTAATGGAGTAATGCTGGCAAACGGCAGATATGCTAGTGGATTCGTCGTCAGTAATCTGGATCGCACAAACCAATTAGACCTGCCAACAAGGACTGAGTGTAAACACTTTCCAGTGATACAAGGGAAGAAATTCCGACACCAGCGGTGGCCATGTAACACCCTCATTTAAATGGTATAGCGCACCTTATTTAAGAGCAGGATGAACGCTGCTCCATCACACTGCTAATAGGAAGGGACCTCATCAATGCATATTATCATGTTCTAGACAAGAGGATTGGACCGACGGGCGCACCGTACGCACAAAGGCTGCGATTGGGTTGGTAATCATCGGCGAAACGTGCCTTGGAGGGTCCCACATGCCCAATTCCATTGGAACATATAGAAGGAGTATCATTATACAAAACAATGGAAAGCCTACAACATTGGACCCATGTCCCAACCAGATAAAAGTGGAAGAGCTATTTGACAAGGATGAGGACTCCATGAGTATATCTAGGGAAGAGAAGCAGTTTGTCAATATCATGGAGGCTGAAGGGAAGCTAAGTTCAGATAATATGTGGACAGCTCCATTTCTAGACTAAGGCTACCAAATTACCGCGAACAGGCATGGAAAAGGACATGCATACTGCATAAAAGTCTTGTCAAAGATTGTGTCAAAAAGCAAAACTTTATTACCTTTATGAAAGGAGTTTTGAAAAATAGACATGCGAAAAAGGCCTCACCACTCAACGAGGATGAAGAATGCTAGTACCTACCGCTATTCGGTGTTTATCATCCCACGAAAAGGGATAAGATACGAGGCGTATTTGATTCCTCTGCCACCTTTCAGGGAGTGTCATTGAACAAGGTACTACTAAAAGGCTCTGATTTGACAAATGGACTGGTAGGGGTACTAATGCGTTTCAGAAGTGAAGGTGTCGCTGTTTGTGGGGACATAGAAAGTATGTTTTATTGTTTTGGAGTGACCGAGAAGCACAGGAACATTTTAGGATTTTTCTGGCATGAAGAAAATGACATTAACAAACCGTTAGTGGAGTATAGGATGTGTAATCATGTATTTGGAAACAAAAATCTCCAGAAGTTGCTAACTATGGCCTACGAGACATCATAAAAAATGCTGATCCTGACGTGGTAGAATTTGTCAATAACAATTTCTATGTAGATGATGGGTTAACATCTTTCAGAGAAGCTTTTTGACCTATTTGATGTCCAATATCAGGTAACAAATTATTCGCTCACATCCTGTAATGGAGTAATGCTGGCAAACGGCAGATATGCTATTGGATTCGTAGTCAGTAATCTGGATGGCACAAACCAATTAGACCTTTTAACGTTATTTACCACAATAAATGTTCAAACGAATGAATGAACACGGTTATACGACTGGATTTCAATATTGTCTTTTATTGTCCGGCCAGTACAGTAAATAAACTAAGATGTCAATCAAGTCTAGATCATTGCCCAAGTGCCCTCAACTCAAACTCACACACGTTAAAGGAGTGTAAGAAATTTAAGACAGGATCTGTTCAAGAGAAATATCAGCGGTTAAAAGAGTTTAACCTATGTTTCAGGTGCTTAGATCCATCGCATCGTAGAAGAGCTTGTAAGGTGCTAATAAAATGCGAGGAATGTAGCAATACGGATCATGTGACCTCAATGCACTCACACCAAGGCAGGGAGCAGGCAGCTGACGAAAATACCACTCGCCAGCATAACATTACCACTGCCTGCGCACATGTATGTGGAGACAATACAGCAATGGCGGGCAAATCATGCGCATAGATTGTACCCGTGGTTGTCAGTCACAAACGTGATAAAACAGTGACTGTCCGAACATATGCGATAATTGATGACCAAAATAATAGGTCACTAGTTTCAGAGAAGCTTTTTGACCTATTTGATGTCCAATATCAGGTAACAAATTATTCGCTCACATCCTGTAATGGAGTAATGCTGGCAAACGGCAGATATGCTAGTGGATTCGTCGTCAGTAATCTGGATGGCACAAACCAATTAGACCTGCCAACAAGGACTGAGTGTAAACAGCTTCCAGTGATACAAGGGAAGAAATTCCGACACCAGCAGTGGCCATGCAACACCCTCATTTAAACGGTATAGCGCACCTTATCCCAGAGCAGGATGAACGCTGCTCCATCACACTGCTAATAGGAAGGGGCCTCATCGAAGCATATTATCATGTTCTAGACAAGAGGATTGGACCGACGGGCGCACCGTACGCACAAAGGCTGCGATTGGGTTGGGTAATCATTTGCGAAACGTGCCTCGGAGGGTCCCACATGCCCAATTCCATTGGAACATATAGAAGGAGTATCATTATACAAAACAATGGAAAGCCTACAACATTGGACCCATGTCCCAACCAGATAAACGTGGAAGAGCTATTTGACAAGGATGAGGAATCCATGAGTATATCTAGGGAAGAGAAGCGGTTTGTCAATATCATGGAGGCTGAAGGGAAGCTAAGTTTAGATAATATGTGGACAGCTCCATTCCTAGACTAAGGCTACCAAATTACCGCGAACAGGCATGGAAAGGGGATGCATACTGCATAAAAGTCTTGTCAAAGATTGTGTCAAAAAGCAACTTTATTACCTTTATGAAAGGAGTTTTGGACAACGGACATGCGGGAAAGGCCCCACCACTCAACGAGGATGAAGAATGCTGGCACCTACCACTATTCGGTGTTTATTGGGATGATCCACTGCCTGCACACATTAAATATGAATGGGAAGTTGGAGTATTGCGTGTACCAAGAACAAAATTAAAAGAAGAGAAGTAGTGGATTTAACTGTACATGTGTATTGTGACGCCTCTGAGCAGGCTGTTGCAGCGGTGGCGTTCTTAAAGACAAACCGTGTAAAGGGGACCGAAGTTGGATTTATAATAGGAAAATCACACATAGCTCCTAGACAATCACACATAGCTCCTAGTACGATCCGTCTCGAACTCTGTTCTGCCGTGCTTGCCACTGAATTAGGCAAAGAAGTCACCACAGAGCTAGACTTTTCCCCCAAAAGTATCAGTTTCTATTCAGACAGTATGATAGTTCTGGGTTACCTTAACAACAACGCAAGGAGATTTTATACTTATGTAGCCAACAGAGTTGAAAAGATATTGTCATTCTGCGAACCACACCAATGGCACTACATATTGACAGGTCAGAATCCTGCAGATCACGGTACTAGATATATTGATCCTGTGAAAATGCAGAATTGCACTTGGCTTACTGGTCCCCAGCATTTTCACCTAATTAATGAAGAGGAACAGGTAAAGTTTCCTCTCATTGACCCTGACAATGATAAGGAAATCAGGAAGGAAAATGTAACTGTGAGTAAGACAGTAATATGCAAAACGCGAATGCTGAGTGAAAAGAAACTGAAATGCTTTTCATCCTGGTCAAGCTTGACACGAGCTGTTGCATACTTGAAACATCAAGCATCGTCCTTTAGAACAGAAAGGCGAATGCCACAATGCTCTGGGTGGCATGCATGCACACAGCATAAATCCGTAGAAAAATATAAGCAAGCTGAAATATTCGTTATCAAAGAACTGCAACAACAGGTGTATGATAAAGAGATGAGTTATTTAACAGAGAGGAAGCCTATCCAGAATAACAGCTCAGTGATGGCACTGTCACCAATGTTGAACAATGACGGTCTGATGAGCGTGGAAGGAAGATTAGGAAAGTCTGACACCCCTCTTATTGAAAAACACCCGGTATTGATACCAGGGAAAAGTCATGTTGCAAAGCTAATTGTTCTTCATTACCACACTAAAGTATGGCATCACTTCACTGAAGGTACCATAAGAGGCGCCGGTTACTGGGTAACAGGCTGCAAAAGGCTAGTGTCGTCTGTCATACACAAATGTATCATTTGTCGTAAACTAAGAGGCAAGTTGAGTTCTCAGCGTATGGCAAACATTCCAGAGGAGCGACTAACACCAGGGCCTCCATTTAGCCAAGTTGGTGTAGACTGCTTTGGTCCGCTAGGAGAACTAGAGGTGGTGTTGCGCAAAGCAAACGCTGGGGAGTGTTATTCAATTGCCTATCTTCAAGGGCTATTCGCATTGAGGTCGTAGAAGAACTCAGCACATCATCCTTCATAAACGCACTACGCCGATTCATTGCTATTAAAGGCAAAGTTAAGGTGTTATGGCCAGATCAAGGAACTAATTTCGTTGGGGCGATCAACAATGAACATCTGCAGACATATTTATTCTAGAATGGTGCAGAATGGAAACTCAATCCTCCACATGCCTCTCATATGGGAGGGGCATGGGAACGCATGATAGACGTGACCAGGAGAATCCTAGACTCTCTCCTTTTGGATTGTAAGAGCAGAACGTTAACACATGAAGTTATGGCCATAGTAAATTCACGCCCACTAGTACCATTATCATCAGACCCACAAGATGCGGCAGTGTTAAGCCCGTCTATGTCGTTGACCCAGAAGAGTGGTTGTGTCGAAAAATGGTTGTCGACAAAGACACCAACAATATGTATCGAGCCCATTGGAAAATGGTACAATGTTTATCGGATAGGTTTTGGAAGAAGTGGAAGAATCATTACTTACAAATTCTCCAACAAAAGCAAAAGTGGTGTACTGACCAAAGGAATTTCCATGTTTCCGACGTAATCCTGCTTCGAGATAACCAGACAAAGAGAAACCAGTGGCCGACTGGCATTATCACACAAGTTTATCCTAGCGACGATGGACGAGTGCGAAAAGTAGAAGTTCGTGCTCCATCCTCAAAGAGCACATATACAAGACCAATTAATGAACTTGTGTTGTTGTTAGAATCTGAAACTTCAGTTCTTGAAGAACTTTTGATATTGTGAAAATTACAGTATGTGAAATTGTTAAAATACTTATGTGGATGATAATATGTGTTTTTTGAATTCCTATAATTTAACAGATTAGAGCATATTATGCCTTGATTCATAATTTGCATTTTTAATTGTTTGGCTGATGTGTTGCGACACATTGGGCGAGGAGTGTAATGTCTTTAACATTGTTGTTTAATGAGTTTTTGAAAGTGAGCCCTAGTTAAAACGGTATTTATGGTACCTTATGTTCTGAGCTGGATAACCAGTGATCTTAGATATAGCCAGTGATCTTGGGTACGTCTTGAGAGGACAGCACAGTTTATTTACCACAATAAATGTTCAAAATTTCATTACTGTTTTTTTATTTTCGGGCCAGTACAACTATTAATAAAACTAATAATTTTTATGTTCGGGTTTGTCTCCTGCTGAATTATTGGGAAGAATAATTAAGTCTAATATTCCATTCACACTACCAAGTAAATCAAAGTACAATAGAAAGATTATGATTCGTAAGAAAGGCAAAAAAATAGACAGAAGTACTATCACGACAAAAGAGCTAAATCATTGTCCACTCTTAATAATAGTAATGCTGTAAGAGTAAGAGAAGATTCCAAGTCAGAAGGGAAAGTTAATTTGCACCAAGATCATATTTGGTGGAAACAGAAAGAGGATCAGTATTGCGAGGAAATCGTAGAGACTTGCTAGAAACAAATTAAATAACTATTGTAAAATCACGAGATCCATAGAGTGTCATAACACCTATGAACATCACAACAGAAAATACAGAAGCATTTAATTCAGATACACATACAGAAATGATTGATTCACAAAAACAAACAATTAATAACACACCTTTAATATCAACAGTGGGAAATAAGGAGTATAACATAAATCAGATGAAGTTCAGATATGGTAGAGTTATTAAGATGCCTAAAAGGTTGATTAAAGAATTCTGAGTTATATTGTTTATAAAACAAAACATAGCTGGCTTTTCCTTATTGACATAATGAGAACTGATATCGAAATTAGATAGTGAAAACAAAATCATATCTTATGACTCTATAAAGGAATTATGAGGTTAAATTAAAGAAATTATGAAAAATCACTTGTGGTTTTTGAGATTTAAACTAGAAACTACAATGATTTTGGTTATAGTGATGTATAGAGTTCTATAGAAGCGGAACCTGAGATCTGTGTATTTTTTAAACACTGGGGAAAAAACGAGCGTAACCATTCTTTAATCCACCAGTTTATTACTAGGCCTATTCAAAATATGTAGAATGACGGCACACTTTAATATGCCCATCATTTTGTCTTTCTTTGAATGCTTGCGTGTTTGAAGAGGTTAGTATGTGAGTCGTCGTAGTCGCCGTCGTCATTGACATCGTCATCATTATATTATTAATATTATTCTACTATTATTCTAAATTTTAAACAATTTTAAGCAAACGAGTATGGAGCATGGCCAAAGTGTATAAATGCAAATAGTGTAGACATGTACTCACCAATCTTTTCGTATTCACCATCAGAGTGTTCGTATTGAGTATCTTCACTTCCTTCATGTTTAAAGTCGTGCAATCTTAGAGAAAGAAAAAAAAAATATTGTTATTAATATACTACTATAATACAAATCAAAATAATATCCTATTGTATAATAAGTTATTATTGTATAAAAATGTTATTGGCTCTATAATTAATATCACAAAGGCTATTTAAAGGGAAGATTTGCAGGTGAAGAACATAAGATTTTAACGATTAACTGTCTTATTATACAAACGACAACAATAAACCCGGAGCATTCATATTTCTTGATTTTGCTAAACCATCTGATTCACGTATTTTGGTTT